GGCACATTAAATAAAAACCAGGGAGGAAGGAATTGCCAGAGGAATATGCTTTTAAGCAGCGGCTGCCGCTGTGCTCTTTCATATTCATGTTCCTCATTGCTGCCCCCCAGGTTTGCTCTTCCCTGAACTTCTGCAGGCATCGCAAGCAGCTCTAAGGTTGGAAGAGACCCCAGGGATCAGCCAAGTGAACCCTCCTCAGCCAGGCAGGAAGACATAATCTAAGCTCTCCCAACAGATGGCCATCCAGTCTCTGCTTAAAAGCCTCCAAAGAAGGAAACTCCACCAGATGCCCAGGCAAAAGCATTTTCTACTGTCAAACATCTCTTATAACAACAACAACAACAACAACAACTGTTCTGGCAGCCCAAGAACAAGCCATTAGAACAAATGCTATGAAAACCAGAATTGAAAAGTCGATGACAGATTCCAAGGAAGCGGATGAAACAATAGATCACATCCTCAGCTGCTGCAAGAAGATCGCGCAGACAGACTACAAGCAATTGGCCCTGCCCACTTGTTCAGTTATTGTGATTTTATATTGCACTGTGTGTTTACTTTGTATTGTTTTTTGTATTTTATTTTTATTATATTTTTGCTGTATTTTTATGTTGTATATTTGCATTGTTGTAATTTTTTTTATATTTGCATTGTTGTATTTTTATGTTGTATGTTTGTATTGCTGTATTTTTATGTTTTATATTTGCATTGTTGTAATTGCTGGTGGGGTAAAAATAAAGAATTATTATTATTATTATTATTATTATTAAACCATGGATGATGTAGTATTATAAGGTCTTTAGCCTCCTCTGCCCAAGAGGGCTGCGGCCTCGCCAAACTACAACTCTCATTTTCATAGCGCGGAGCCACAGCATTTAAAGTGCTGTCAACCTGCATTTGTTTAGAGTGTAGATGCACCCTTAGATGCCACTGGAACAGAAGTCGATAATGGGGTGTCTAGCAATTGATGTTATGTGTTTTGACTTGCTTATGTGATGTGTTGCATTTCAAAGCTGATAATGTTCCTCATCTCAATCCATTATCACCATCATCAACATCATTATCATCATCGTCATCACCACCATCAGGGAAATTAGACTGAAGTCCAATACTGACTGATCTACAGGGTTCTCAGGGTCGCAACTGTACTGTAGAAATAATTCAGCTTGACTCCACTTTAACTATTATGGCTCTATGCCATGTAATCATGGGAGTTGTAGTTTACAAGGTCTTTAGCCTTCTTTGCCCAAGAGTGCCCAAGAGTGATGTTGCCTTGCCAACCCATGGCTCCCAGGATGCCACAGCATTGAGCCATAGCAGTTAAAGTGGTGTTAACCACATTAATTCTACAGTGTAGATTCATCCTCAAATTCTATCAGTCCAAAGATGTGAATTCACATCTAGTTCGGAGTAAAATCCAGACCAAAGTGACTCTTCCATAGCATTGGTGTGATAGACCATTAACTTCTGCTTAGGAAGATCTCTACCTTTGTCTGTTTAATATTAAATAATTTAATATGTTTAATGGTAAATAATACACACACACACACACACACTAGCCATCCCCTGCCATGTATTGCTGTGGCCCAGTCTGTGAATTTGTGTTTTGTGTGTGTTTATGTGTGTGTGTATATATATTTGTGTATATGTGTGTTTGCGTGTGTATATATACTAACCATCCCCTGCCATGCATTGCTGTGGCCCAGTCTGTGCATATGTGTTTTGTGTGTGTATATACATATATCTGTGTGGTTTTGCGCATGCATACTAATGTATTTTTTATTTTTTGACTTTTTAAGTCCCTTCTACTGTGTTTTTCAGTATTTTTATGAGTGATGGTCACTCGTTGGCCTGATAGGTGTATTGTGTCCAAATTTAGTGTCAATTCGTCCAGTGGCTTTTGAGTTATGTTAATCCCACAAACGAACATTACATTTTTATTTATATAGACTAGCCATCCGCTGCCACACATTGCTGTGGCTCAGTCTGTGTATATGTGTTTTGTGTATGTATATATATGTGTGTGTATATGTATATGTGTATATATGTAGTTTAGCACATGCGCTGTAGCGTCTTCTTGCTGTTTAGGCTTTTAAAATCTCTTCTGCTGTGTTTTTCAGTGTTTTTATGAATGATGGCCACTCGTTGGCCTGGTAGGTGTATTGTGTCCAAATTTGGTGTCAATTCGCCCAGTGGTTTTTGAGTTGTATTAATCTCACAAATGAACATTATGGTATCTATCTATCTATTTATCTATCTAACTATGTCCAATATTTTATCCAAGAACAAGACTCAAGTTGTTTAAAAATTCGGCAGCTATTCCACAACAACCTGAAATGTATCAGAGCAATGGATTCAAATTGCAGGAAACAGATTCCACCTGAATATTAGGAAGAATCTCCTGATGGTAAAATCTGTTTGACAGTGGAATCTGCAGATTCCTGGGAGTGCAGTGGAGTTCCTTTCTTGGAATGTTTTTAAGAATCTGAATGGCCATCTGTTGGGAGGGCTTTGATTGTGGCACAATGGGGTTGTTGCACAGGGTGGACTCGTGGTCTCTTCCAACTCTATGGGGCTATGATCTGTATTTTCTCGTGTGTGTTTGGCAAGAGGCATGGCATTTCTGTTTTGTTTTGTGCCGCAGCTTAATTACTCAGTTGGCAGCCTGGAAATGAAGCCCATTGTAGGATGACAAAGGATAACAAAGCCTTCATAAAGAAGGGGGTGGGCGTGCAAGGAGGCAGCCGACGTAATCTGCTCCGATTTCAGCAAAATGCCACATGGAAGGCAACTTGGAAAATTAATGTAAGCCTCTGGGCTTTGGTGCAGTCTGTTGCAAAAGGCAAAAGAAATTGGCTGGCAGACCATAAACAAATGGGCTGAGAGGATGAAGTGGGGGATCGTGATGGAATGATATGAGGGGAGGAAAGGAATACGAAGGACTGTCCGCTCTTGTTTAGCATCTGTTCCCAGAGGATGCCAGAAAGGGGGAAGATGTCAGGTTGTTTCAATCCAAGGATCGCAGTGGAATGGGAGGCATTCGGAAGACAAGGCAAATAATGTGGATGCATTCAAAGATACAAGGAGTATCCTATATGCCTATATATCAGGCAAAAAATATACCTTTAAAGCTCTGGCATAGAGACTGAGAACTGGGAAGCCCTGGCCCTTGAGTGCTCCAGCTGGAGGTCAGCTGTGACCAGCAGTGCTGCAGAATTTGAAGAGGCACGAATGGAGGGCGAAAGAGAGAAATGTGCCAGGAGAAAGGCGCGTCAAACCTACCCCAACCGGGACTGCCTTCCACTTGGAAACCGATGCTTTCACTGCGAGAGAAGATGCAGATCAAGAATAGGGCTCCACAATCACCAACGGACCCACCAGAACACTGATCCTGGAAGACTATCCTACTCGGCCAACGAGGGATCGCCTAAGTAAGTACCAGGCATTTGCAAACTTCAGTCCTCAAGGTGTTTTGGACTTCAACTCCCACAATCCCTAAGAGCCTACCCTTTGCCACAGTTTCCCAATACTTGAAAACTACCCCCTGATCTAGATCACTGCTTCTTAAGCTGTGGGTCCCGATCCTAAATGGTTTTGGAACGCCATCTAGACTTTTACACAGCGTGCAGTGTTTGCAGAAAATGCTTCAGCTGTGCTCCACACAAAAAAAGGAAAATCAGCCTGCTTAGCAAGACTTGCAAATGCAGATTTGTTACCAGTAAATATATCTTATTCAGGCATGGGCAAACTTGGGCCCTCCAGGTGTTTTGGACTGCAACTCCCACAATTCCTAACAGTCGGTAGGCTGTTAGGAATTGTGGGAGTTGTAGTCCAAAACACCCGGAGGGCCCAAGTTTGCCCATTTTGCAGCAACCTTCTTCTTCTTTTTTGCAATCTGTTGGCTCCTTGGAGAACTAAAATGCAATTTATTTCATAAAGATCAAGTCGACAGAACATATTGTGTTGGCCTTGCATCACACATTTTAGTGCAAACATTAAGACACAAGCAAAAAGTGGGTGCTAGAAACAATATCATATGAAAGCTGACTGGCACAACCTGGGGATCACAACCAGACACAGTGAAGACATCTGCCCTTGTGCTTTGCTACTCTGCTGCTGAGTATGCATGCCCAGTGTGGAACACATCTCACCACGCTAAAACAGTGGATGTGGCTCTTAATGAGACATGCTGCATTATCATGGGGTGTCTGTGTTCCCCACACCACTGGAGAAATTACACTGTTTAGCCGGTATTGCACCACCTGACATCTGCCGGGAAGTAGCAAACAATAGTGAAAGGACCAAGGCAGAGACATCTCCATCTCATTCCCTGTTTGGGTATCAGCCAGCAGGTCAACAACTTAAATCAAGAAATAGTTTTCTAAGATCTACAGAGACACTCTCTGGGACACCTCAGCAAGCGAGAGTCCAAAAGTGGCAGGCTCAAACCCAGAACCTCAATCAATGGCTGATACCAAATGAGAGACTCCCCTCTGGGCACACAGAAGACTGGGCAACTTGGAAGGCGCTGAACAGACTGCGCTCTGGCACTACGAGATGCAGAGCCAACCTTAAGAAATGGGGCCACAAAGTGGAATCCTCGACATGTGAGTGTGGAGAAGAGCAAACCACTGACCACCTGCTGCAATGCACCCTGAGCCCTGCTACATGCACAATGGAGGACCTTCTTGTAGTAACACCAGAGGCACTCCAAGTGGCCAGCTACTAGTCAAAGGACATTTAATCAACTACCAAGCCTGCAAACTTTCTGTTTTGTTTGTTTGTTAAAAATGCAATGCAACTGTCTGGCATGCTCCTGACACAATAAGTAAATAAAAAAATAAATTAAGACACAAATAGTGTTCAATCCAGGAAGTATTGCAGAATGTCATGCCACAGTCCACTCCCAAAAGTGTTTCCATGTGACCATGTACCACCTTTGGCATTAAGTGATCAATGCCCCCAATTCCCAGACCTGAAAGTGACCCGACCGATGGACTTACTGCTGCTTGCGGGTGAGCTCCTGCTCCTTCTGCACCAGATCTTGCTTGAGGGAGGCCAGCATCTCCACGCTGACGTCCACCTGCCGAGACAGCTCCACGGCCCGATCCTCCAGCTCCTGCTTCTCCCGGCTCAACCGGAGGCTCTCCTGCTTGGCCTTCTCCAGCTCTGAGGTCTTCCGGTCCAGTTCCACCTGGAGCCGTCCCACTTGGGAAGCGATCTTCTGCTCCACTTCTTCGGTCAGTTTCTCCAGGCGTTTGTCCACCTCCAGTTTCTCAAAGGCCCGGATCTTGAGGCGGGTCAGGCCTTCTTCATAAGCTGCATCCACGGCGGCTACGGCAGCGGCCGCGGCGGCTGGCGGGGTGGTGGCCGAGGTCATGGCCTTGCGGGTAAAGATCTCGGTGAGTGGGATCTCGATCTCGTGGACGTAGCGAGAGGCCACGGGCGAGGAGGACGAGGACTCCAGCTCGTCGGTGGTGATGAGGTCGCAGGTGAAACGCTGCTCCTTGCCCTGGAAGGAGGTGCTCTCGAAGATGTCCCGGCGGGTGGCGGGTGTCAGGAGGGTGGTATCTGACGGCAGGGGGAAGACGGTGGCATCGCAGATGCTGTTGGTTTTGGAGAGGACATAGAGGGTCTCATAGGTGTGGTTGTATTCCAGGTGGGCACGTAGGGAGGACAGGCTCCGGAAACGCTTGTGTTCCCCGCAGCGCGGACAGCGGTACGGCAGGTCCAAGGAGGCCATCCCTCAGCCACTCCACCCACCACGCAGCAGCCCTCCTCCTCCGCAGGCAACCAGCTGCCGGGCCCCTCTCATGGTGCGGGTGATGTGGGGCGGCGAGCGGTGGAGGAGACGGAGGGCGAGGGGCACGGCAGGAGGGCAGGCTGGCTCCAGAAGGGCATTGCTGGGCTTAGGCGCAGACGGGCAAAGTTGTGGAGGTGCACGATGGCAGCCGCCAACCCAGAGGGACCACAACAACAGGAGGCCTGCTTAGCATCAGGTTTGATGGGTGGATCTGAAAGAGAGAAGCAAGGTCAGCAGTGGCTTAATTTCCAGGTCCTCCCAAAACCACCCTTGGATCACTTTGGCTAGGTTCAGCACCTTGGAGAGTAGGCTTGGGTAACCACGGAAAAATTTGGTTCTAAACTCGTTTTGTTTTTAGGGGGCCCTTGCGTTTCGTTTTTTTTAATAATTCCAAAATTTTCCTTTAAAAAATTTCGAAATATACGAAATTTCGTATAATTACGAATCGATTCGTTAATGGCGGACGCGATTGCGCAATATGCTAAAAAAACCTCCAAATGGGACAGGGGGAACTTCTGAAGCTTCCCTCTCCCTCTGTTGTTGACTGTTGGTGTGATAAAACAAACAACAACTATAAAACTTGCACCAGACATGCAAAAATAATTACAAAATAATTACAAAATAATTGAAAAAATTGTTTTGAATCTAATTTATCAAGATTATTAAGATCATCTGAAGAGGCCCTGCTCTTGGTCCCACCGGCCTCGCAAGCGCGCCTGGTGGGGACGAGGGACAGGGCCTTCTCGGTGGTGGCCCCGTGACTCTGGAACTCTCTCCCTCTGGAGGCCAGAACCGCCCCATCCATCCTAACATTTAGGAAACGGGTGAAGACGTGGCTGTGGAGTCAGGCCTTCGATGAATGAGACAACACCATAGGACCCTGGATGGAAGTTGATGTAGATCCATCTTAATAGGACGACTGACCACTGTAGTTTTATATATAGTTTTTTTTAAAGTTGTTTTTGTAATTGTGATATATGATATTTTAATGAGTGTATATGTTTTTTATGGCTGGAAACCGGGCTGAGTCCCTCAATGAGGTTGAGAAGCTCGGTATAGAAAACTGTGAAATAATAAATTTACTCCTCACACTATTCCTACATGGCTCAATATTGGATCGTAAGCTAATTTAAATACGAATTAATAACGAATTACGAAATTAATGAACGAAACCGCCCAAGCCTATTGGAGAGCTCCGGCATTCAGAAAAACCATGGACTGTTTTCAGGATAAAAGACTGGAGAGGATCAGCCATGACTTAATGTCCTCTTGTCCCCGAAGGCCACTTTCCTGAGACCACTCTTTGGGCCAGATTGGAGCAAAAACAGGGAATGGATTCAGGAGGAAAGAGAGGATCCTCTGTAGCTTAATATCCCCTTGCCTCCTGAAAACACCCTTGGAGACTTTTGGCCAGATTCAGCACCTTGGAGAACCCCAAAATTCAGCAAAAACATAGAATGAATGCAGGACTGGCATGGAAAATTCCCACTGTCTGCTATTTCATGTCCTTTAGGCAGATCATTTACATTCTTTAGGCATACCATTTACATCCTTTGGGAAAGAGCTTGAGAAGTGGCGTGTTTGGACAACAACTCCCAGGATCACCCAGCCTGTCATTTCTCAAGCTCTGCTTGGCCCTGTAAATGCTCTCCCAAAGCAAGTAACCTCGTAGGAACGGATGAAGTGCTACGTCAGTGCAGACCAGGCATGGGTAAACTTGGGCCCTTCAGGTGTTTTGGACTTCAAATCCCACAATTCCTAACAAAAACAGTCCAAAACACCTGGAGTCCAAAACACCTGGAGGGCATAAGTTTGCCCATGCCTGGTGTTGACTTTATTCCACAGTTTTGCTGAAGCTTTAGAGGAGCTTTCCATGGTATTGCAGCTTTGAGTTCTCCAAGGGGTTGAATTGTTGGAGCTCTCCAAGGTACTAAACACGGCAAAGAAAACAACTACACCAGCCATACAGTTTTCTTCCACAGTTTCTGCAGAAAAAATCCTATATGATACAATTCTACCATTTACAGGACTGGGTCCCATGGGTTCACCTACTAACATTTGGCAAAAATACATTTTCTGTAGGCATTTTGTAGGTCCTCCAACTTGTTCTATATCAGCCTCTATAAAATTGTGTTGGAGGACTAAGCAAATTTCTTAAGGATCCTTTTCCTGATCCTCTAGGATTCTATATTAAATTCCAGCAGAAGTCATTCATTTCAATTGTGTTCATCACTGTTTCCACAGTATGTTCAAAAACAAATCTTCCATGGCTGTGCATTTGTATTTGAAAAATGCACATACATTTTAGTCAATGGAGAAATGCATCTGTCAGCTGGTTATCCCAATGCCATACAATGACCTGCTCTCATCCACTCCTGCAAATCTGCAGAACAAAACACCAGCTTCTAAGAGATTTCAGTCCATCTTAATCCCCTCCCAAATGAATTTGTGGCAGTGAATTTACTCTGGATTTTAGTGTAAACTTTCAAATATTGTTGAAGGCTTGCATGGCTGGAATCACTGGGCTGTTGTAGGTTTTTTTCAGGCTATATGGCCATGTTCTAGAGGCATTCTCTCCTGACGTTTTGCCTGCATCTATGGCAAGCATCCTCAGAGATAGTGAGGTTGCTTGCCTCTGAGGATGCTTGCCATAGATGCAGGCAAAACATCAGAAGAGAATGCCTCTAGAACATGGCCATATAGCCTGAATAAATCTACAACAACCCAACTTTCAAATAGTTATCCAGGGTGCCACTTCTTGTTTCCAAAGGAGGATCAGCACCTTGGAGAGTTCATTCAGAGTTCCAATGAAAGCCTGGATGGATTAGAAACCCCAATGACATGGGAGCCATTAATCCATCACTGAGCAAGCCAGGAAGTTTCCTATAAATCTTGATGTAATCATAAGAGACCAAAGAAGCAAACAGAAACCCCATCAGCACAGCGCTGGCCCACATCTTCTCTCCATGCATGTCAAACCTGATGTGGATTATTCCTGCTGACCCATGATAAGAGGAGCCTGACTAGAATAGTAAAGAGATCCCGGGAGGAATTGGGGAAGGATGCCACTGCAAAACCCTTTTGTTCAAGGCTCCTGAGAAAGCATTCATCTCCACGTCAACCTGTCAAGTCCATGACTCCTGTTTCGACTCCATCCATCACTCTTACGGCTTGTTTGCTTTTAAAAAAATCGGGAGATGGGGAGCAGTTTAGGCTCCAGAAATACTAGAAACTAGTACACTAGTTTCTACTATAAACTATACGTAAACTAGAAACTTATACTAGAAACTGGTATACTAGAAACTGGTATACTAGAAGCTTCCCACCGGAGTGGAAGTCATCTATCGGACAGATGGCAAGCTGTTTAACCTCAGCAGACTGAAAGCCAAAACCAAGGTTACAACAACATCTGTTATAGAACTCCAGTATGCTGATGACAATGTCGTCTGTGCACATTCAGAAGAAGATCTACAAGCCACTCTAAACACCTTCGCAGAAGCATACACGAAGCTCGGCCTGTCATTGAACATCGAGAAAACCAAAGTGCTGTTCCAGCAGTCACCAGCCATCCCCTCTCCAATGCCAGAGATACAGCTTAATGGTGTAACATTAGAAAATGTTGACCATTTCCACTACCTTGGCAGCACCTCTCCAAAAGTCAACATGACACAGAAATACAACACCGCCTGAGCTCTGCGAGTGCAGCATTTCCGAATGAAGCAGAGAGTGTAGGGATACCAAGGTGCTTGTCTATAAAGCTATTGTCCTCCCAACCCTGCTATATGCCTCTGAAACGTGGACTGTCTACAGACGTCACATGCAACTCCTGGAACGATTCCATCAGCGCTGCCTTCGGAAAATCCTGCACATCTCTTGGGAAGACAAGCGGACAAACGTCAGTGTGCTGGAAGAAGCAAAGACCACCAGCATTGAAGCGATGGTCCTCCGCCATCAACTCCGCTGGACCGGCCACGTTGTCCGGATGCCTGACCACCGTCTCCCAAAGCAGTTGCTCTACTCTGAACTCAAGAACGGAAAACGGAATGTTGGTGGACAGGAAAAGAGATTTTAAGATGGGCTCAAAGCCAACCTTAAAAACTCTGGCATAGACACTGAGAACTGGGAAGCCCTGGTCCGTGAGCACTCCAGCTGGAGGTCAGCTGTGACCAGCAGTGCTGCAGAATTCGAGGAGGCATGAGTGGAGGGTGAAAGAGAGAAATGTGCCAGGAAGAAGGCGCATTAAGCCAACCCCGACTGGGACCGCCTTCCACCTGGAAACCAATGCCTTCACTGTGGGAGAAGATGTGGGTCAAGAATAGGGCTCCACAGCCACCTACGAATCCACAAGGAAACCCATCATGGAGGACCATCTTACTCGTCCAACGAGGGATCGCCTAAGTAAGTAAGTAACTAGAAACTGGGATTCTGCTGGTGTCTTATTGGGTAGGACTTAAAGAGCAACCCTACAGTATCCCTCCAAATGAAACACAAAGCTGGGAAAGGACCTGAAACTAAGCAGGAAGCAAACTGGCAACAAACAATAACTTTTGTCCAAAGATCTACTAAGTCCCAGCACTGCTTTCAGCCCAAACTACTCAATTATTGAGATAAAGTTTACTCCAAGCATTGGTATTTTAGAGAACTTCAGAGCTACACAGACAAAAACAAAGTAGGCATGAGCAACATCTAATGCAGTGGTTCTTAACCTTCCTAATGCCGCGACCCCTTAATACACTTCCTCATGTTGTGGTGACCCCCAACCATCAAATTATTTTTGTTGCTACTTCATAATTGTAATTTTGCTACTGTTATGAATCGTAATGTAAATATCTGATCTGCAGGATGTATTTTCATTCATTGGACTAAACTTGGCACAAATACTCAATACACCCAAATTTGACTACTGGTGGGGTTGGAGGGGTTGATTTTGTCATTTGGGAGTTGTAGTTGCAGGGATTTATAGCTAACCTACAATCAAAGAGCATTCTGAACTCCGCCAATGATGAACTTGGCACACAGAACTCCCATGACCAACGGAAAATACTGGAAGGATTTGGTGGGCATTGACCTTGAGTTTTGGAGTTGTAGTTCACTTGCATCCAGAGAGCACTGTGGACTCAAACAATGATGGATCTGGACCTAACTTGGCATGAATACTCAATATGCCCAAATGTAAACACTAGTGGAGTTTGGGGAAAATAGAC